CCACTTCAAAGTATGAAAATTTGTACATTACATTAACAATGAGCAAGGTCCTAGAAAGAAATCAGAATGCTTTGGAATAATCTAAGAAAACAGCTGTTGCTTTAAAGTAGAAGAATTGTATCCAACAGAAATGCTTTACAAAGCATGCTATATTTTTCTTTCTTAGCATTATTTTGTCTTTGTTTTAATTAGGTTTTCTGAAATGGTAATCAAAATAATAAAGGAAATATTTCAAAAGTCAACAAATTACCTCAAGAAAATTAATTTCTTGATCACACACTGATCTCCACCACATCAACTTCTATCCACAGTCACTTTAAAAATGTGCTGCTTTCTGGAAATACCTATGTATTTCCTCCTGCCACAGTACAGTAGGGAAAAAAAAAGAGTCCTTATCCTCAAATCATGATATTTTATGTAAAAGCAATGATCTCCTTATAGTGGTTTTCCTTAGAGTTAATAACAAGTCTGAAAACAGTGCCAATGAAGAAGGAGAAGAAAATCTCAGTGTTAGAGAAACCTTAGGAAATGAGGAAAAGTTCAGAAATTTTCTTCATAATTTACAAATAACTTAAAAAATCAGAAAGTATTATTGAAAACCCTACATATTTCCACTCCAGTAAATGCTCAGTTTAATAAATAGCTGATTACAGGCACTAAATGAAATAAACATATAAAAACCTTGAAATTTTTTGTTAGGAAAATATATGTTTTAATTATTACTGTTACTCATGTCAGTAAATTAAGGCAAATAAAATTACATCATAAATAAAATAACGTAAATATGCTAAGTTTTCTTATAAACAGAAAAAAACCCAATTAATTACTTCATCAAATATTAAAATATTTTTTTCCTTGAGGAAAGTGTATAACAAAATACACAGATTTGTCATTCTCTTCTCATAAATAAGACATTCAGTAGAAATCTAGTCTGTTTTTTGGAATGTTTCTGCAGGATTTATGACATAGACTTTCCCCCAGAAATGGATTTAATGTTTTCAACGTAAGAAAAGATCAAGTACAACAAATTGTGAGAGGCAGTCTGTAACCTTGGAGAGACAACAGTCATGTTTTTTTGTATTTGACTGTTACTTTATTTTAAAAGACTAAAGTGATTTTTTCACCATAGAATCTTGTGAAGCCTTTATTTGGTTTGAAGACTTCCACAACAGATTTACTTCAGGAGCTATCTGTTGTTTTGTTTTGCTTATTTTTTTCAATTTCAACATTGTTTCTTTTCACTCGCTAAGGAGTGAGAATACTGATGCAGAACTCAATTTCCAACTACATTCAGTCAAGGAACAAACCAAGATCATTACATTAATATGATTACTTACACAGTACTACATTGTTATTTAGTGTTCTCCAAAAAAATGTGAGGTTCAGAAAGTAGGGCAGTTGTGTTACATGTCCTTCTCCTTGTAATAAAAGAAGCAGGAACGAAAAAAAGACAAAAAAAGGCTGTGAGAACTATCAATATAATCTGACACTATTACGGCTGTCATTAAAATAATGCAGTACTATCCACAATGTCATGGAATTTTATTTGTTGTAATACAATTTGGATTTAAGCTGATTTAAAGCTTATCTATATTCTAGATATCTTCTACATCTAATTAGGTTCAATACTAACTAGTTTTAGGTTCTGTTGCTGATACTTATATTCTTATTTATTCCACCTTTCATAAATTTTTTGAATTATACATATCTGGAATGAAAATTAAGTTGTCTAACAGAATGATTAAACAAAATGGTCTGCATAGGACTTCTGAAAAAATAGCTTGTATTTCTGAACAAAATACAATACTTGAAAAAGGATATTATTTTATCCTGTAGGATAACTAGATTTTTCAGCAAGTAAAAGTGGAAAGGCTCTAAGATAAACAATAAAAACAAGGTTTATGGTTGTGAGGAGAAAAGCTTTAGAAGTAGAAAGTGAAATTTAATTTTTTCTCTTAGTATTTTTCAGTGATTGAAATCACAGAATTTATTCATAATTTACACATAAATGTGTTTGTCGGATCATTACAATACCCACTCTGTAGGTCTTCCTGATGTATTTTATCTCCTTTCTCCCATATTCTACCATTTCTTTCTTTTCCTCCATTTCCTCCACCTTTTGACATTTTCTTTTTCAACTTTCTTAAATAAATTTCCAAATTCTGATTTGTTATTTGCTGAACCTATCCATCTATCTTAAGTCTCAAATTACTTGTTGAACAAACAAGGATTGAACTGAGTTAGTCTTGAGTCTTCCCAGAAAGCTCATTCCTGCACAGTGATGTAGCACAGCAGGAAGTGTTGCTGTAAGAGTAATTATGGTAGCTATTACTCTCTCCTTTTTATAAATTTGCTGTCACCAGAGTTTCTAGCTCCTTATTTCTTTTTCGACAAGCTGTACATGGTCTTTTGTATACTATATATGATGTATACTACATTCTATTTTTAAAGTATTTTTTAGTCATGCTGTCTTCAACAGTTTACCATCATTAAAGCTCTGAGTATATACATTTGAAAATTTACTGTCGTCCTATTAGCCTGCTACAAAAGGTATCTTTTAGATTGCTGTTTTCACCTCTAGTCATGTAGTTGTTTTAACAAAATTTCTTAACTTTTTATTGTTTCTGGACATTATAGTATATGAACCTAATAAATCTCTTTTGAGAAGTAAGTTTTGTTTCATTTGAAGAGATTTATTATTATTAAGGGTCTTCTTTTAAGTTCCAAGTAAAGATTTTGCAACTCATTATATTATTAAGTTTATATTACATTTTTATTTTTAAAGGCAAATGTAGGAAAAAGTCATTCTGTGCTGACCTTCACTTGGCACGAATTTATTCTGGCAAAATTCTTAAACACAGGCATTTTTCCAAGGTGCTATTCACAAATAGCAGACAATTTAGCTGGATTTAGATTAATATTTCTCCAATGAAAATTTTTATGTGTCTCTAAACTTCAAGAGAATCATAGAATCCTAGAGTTGCTTAGGTTGGAAAAGAGTTTTAAGTAAAATCTTTAACCTAGCACTGCCAAGTCCACCACCACTAAACCATGTCCCTAATTGCCCCACCTACACATCTTTAAAATACCTCCAGGGATGGTGACTCAACCACTTCCCTGGGCAGCCCCTTCCAATGCTTGATCATCCTTTCCAGTAATGATTTTTTTCCAAATATCCAATCTAAACCTCTTCTGGCACAACTTGAGGTCATTTACTCTTGTCCTATTGCTTCTTACTAGGGAAAAGAGACCAACACCCTCATTACAACCTCCTTTCAGGTGGTTGTAGAATGTAATAAGCTCTCATCTGAGCCTCCTTTTCTCCAGGCTAAACAATCCCAGTTCCCTCAGTCGCTCCTCAGAAGACTTGTGCTCAGTGAGCAGCTCAAAACCGAGCACAGTATTGAAGGTGCAGCCTCACCAGTGTCAAGTACAGAGGCACGATCACTTTCCTGGCCACACTATTTCTGATGCAAGCTAGGATGCTGTTGGCTTTCTTGGCCACCTGGGCACACTGCTGGATCATAATCATTCATCTGTCAATCAACACTCCTGTGTCCTTTTCTGCCAGGCAGCTTTCCAGCCACTCTTCCCCAAGCCTGTAGCGTTGCATGGGGTTGTTATGACACAAGTGTAGGACGCAGCACTTAGCCTTGCTGAATCTAATATGACTGGTCTTGATCCATCGATCCAGCCTGTCCAGGTCCCTCTGTAGAGCCTTCCTACCCTCAAGCAGATCAACACTCCCAGTGTCACCTGCAAACTTACTGAAGGTGCACTCAATCCCCTCATCCAGATCATTGATAAGGATAGCTGTTACCTTTGCAGATAAAACAGTAAAATGAAAAAAAAAAGTGTCAGAATACTTTGATTACACACATACTGTGGTGCCCTAATATTTAGATTTAAAACAGTCTGTCTACAATTTCTGACAACTTAGAAGAAAAAGATAATCAAACACTAAGATCTTTTCTTTTTCCCCGCCTTCTGAGTGGCTTTCATTATAAAAGTGAAACATAAACAAAGCCTGTCTGTTCCCCTCAGCTATATGTCAGGAAACTTTCCCGCTTCAGACTTGCTGATTGATAAGCAACACTTTTGCTCATTCATGTGTCATTGAAATTAAGTTTAAGGGAAGATTTACACCGCATAGTGCTGTATTACAGAGAGAAGATTATTTGGTCTGGAGAGTAGTTTGAAAGGTAAACAGGAATCTGCACAAAGAAATATTACAACAAAACTCTGTACTTAAGGCATATACTAGTTCAGATTCTTCTGAAAGTATCAGTTTATGGATATTCTTTTATAGTCTCACGCCTCCACAAATGACAAGGGGCAATATGACTTTCACATTGCATTCAAAAATCTGAACACTATCATAGCTTTGATTTCAACTGAAACTAACATTTAAATTGGATACAGGGTTAAAATCAATGCCTCTACAGTTAACATAATACCCAGATCAAGGTGCACATGACAACAATGAATTAAAAAGAAGCCCTGAAATTGTTTCACTGAGGTCACATGGGTATATTATTCATAAACTTTCAGGGACTGATGTCATAGTATTTTAAATAAATTAAGATGCCTAAACATGTACAAATAAAGGATGTATAATTCTATAAATAATGTCTGGATAGTGATTTTCTCTCAGAAATAAGGCTGCAGTGGTTCTGTGAAAGTTTCAAGAAACACCTTTTTTGGTTTTTTGAGGTTTTTTTTGTTGGGTTTTTTGGGGGGTTTTACCCTAGAGACATGCAGCAATCAAGTGACACAAGTTTTGCATGTGGGGAAGATATTGGAAAAGGCATCCAATCTGTGAAAAGGTAACCATAGCTATAATTTGGTAAGTAACAACTCAGCCACACTGTTTATGCAGCATTTTATGCAGAACTCTCTTCAGTGTCTGTGCTAACAGGAAGAGACAAACTGATTTGCTTTTCTTACTTTTGTTTGCTAGAGAGAAAGAAAATAGGAAGCCTTGACAGTAGTATTCATACCTAAACATCTGGTCTCAATTCCGCTCCAGAGTCCAGAAGACAGACATTCCCTCACGGCAGAGCCAACTAGTATGTATCCTGAGTCACAAGTAAATATAGCTGTAGATCCGTATGTGATTTGAGTTCCAATCTTATTCCCATTTGGAGGTGTGGGAAGTTCTCCACAAGAAATAACTTCATGGCAAAACCAAGACAAAACAGAAATGTACATCTGAGTATCACAAACACCCATACAAAAATACTTATCAACCACTAATACTTATCAACCACTAATACTTATCAAGCAGTCAACTAGATAAATGAATTTCACAGCTTGACGCATTTCTGCTCTGTAGAAAAAATGTATTAAAAACTCTGCATACAAAGATATTACTTCCCCAGAAATAAAACTTGAGAAAGAGGGGACGGAACACTAATTAAATCTTTCTTTCTAAAGTTAAAAACCCTCACCATCCATACCATTATTAATTGCTATTTAATTACTTTGGTTTTATCAACAGCTTTTTTTTAATATTGAAAAATCTCAATTTTTGTCATTTCAAAAATTATGTTTCTTAGGAAAGATTTCATTTTTATCTCCTAACTCATAACAAAATTCTTGCTTTAGCATTCACATAATATGTTGTTACAATGATTGAAAGATCTTTATGGAATTCGTATTTATTTAGAATTCAAAAAATCTTTTCATTCAGATTCATAATTTTTCTTTAATAATTTTCTTTTAGTAATTAGCAAAAACAACTGTATTATTGAACAAGATGGTGAATTATCTAAAGGAAAAAGTGCACTTTATGCTAAAAAAGTGGTAATATTGCAAACAAAACTTCCCAAAACGTAGTGAAAAATGATTTTTTTTTAAAGGGGTACAAATACATACATAGTATGCAAAATATTGATACACACAGAGAGAGATAGATACATTTATAGACACAATTATTTAATATTAACAGAAGTGAAATATTGCTATTAACTTTTTAAAATCTTCTAAATTATAAATGAAATTTCCAGTAGATTATAAAACAATCAAAATTCAGGTTAATTTCCAACATAATTAATCTGTTTTTTTCAGCCCTTTTTTTATTAGTTTCAAATGTATTCTCAAAAAATCTGAATATATTCGAAGCCATAGTTATCTGGCTTATCTAAACTTTTTTCTGATTTTAGATACGTGAGGATTTATACACATGCATGCAGATACACACAGTTTAGGTACATGCACCAAAACCACAGTCATATTCCCTTCTATCAGTGAACAACATGTGTTTCACAGAGAGGAAGCATTAAGGGCTTCAAAGCACCTCAGTTCTGAAAAACAGTTGTATAAATCTGAATATATAAAGAAATCCATGTTCCACAGGGTGGGGGAGAGGAACACAATTGTAGCCACAGATTTAGCTTGTTTAAAGTATCTGACTATTCATTGTTTGTTTTTTTGAAAAGTAGCTATTGAAGGTTATCATGATAGCAGCTAATGATAGGAATGGTGTTGACTTGTACACTGTATGGTAACCAGTTGAATGGAAGGATTACTTTTTTATCAAGTGTGCAGACAGGATACAAAATTTTTTCTTGTTTCTAGACTATACAGCATTCTCTGACCTAGAAAAACATATATGAAAATATTTTCTATTATTTAATTGTACCTTTATACATTTAGGGACCTTTGAAATCCAGAAGCATGCTTACAGATATTTCTTTGTCACTAAACCTAATGGATTATATTTGTAAATAATAGCCTTTAGGAAAGCCAAGAATTCCAGACAGGAAACATTTTTCTAATTAAGTTATTACAATATTTAATTAGTTAATTTTTAATTAATCCAAATAAAATATTCTTATCTGAAGTCTGTACAGCAGATGCAGATACAATATGTACTCACTTTGGCAGTAAGGACGCTCATTTCTCCAACTCCAGGTGCCATTAGCAAGACACTCAATAGATGCTGGTCCCAAACCATAATACCCTGGATCACAGCTGAAAACTACTTTAGTTTTGTACTCATAATGTGAACCATTAACTATTTTCCATCTTCCATGTTCCAGTGTAAAAGAATTGATGCTTGGACATGTAACAACTTCCAAAATAACAACAAAAAAAGAGTTATTTATGGCTTAGTACAGGCAAATTAGGAAAATCTGTGCCATTATTAATTCAGAAATATATTTTAAAGACAGTGACATAATGTTTAAAGAGCAAGGTTGTATTTGAAATTGCCTGCGGTTAGCAGGTGTGAGTTCTCTCATTTAATTAATAATGATCAGTGGCCCAAAGCAGTGACTGTGCATGAAGAGCTATCCAATTGGTGTAGATAGAATCTAAAACATTGGATTGCTGTACATTGGCAGTCATGGAACTCCTATGACACTTTACATTAGACAGGATCTTTACTAAAAAGTTAGCTACATTTCAATATAGGAATTATTTTTCTACCCAGGTAAATTCTATGAGATCTTAAAGATTCATTTGGAGACGTTGCACATTGGTGTCAGGTAAAATAATATCCATATCCAAGATGGTTTATCATCAGCTACATATTTCTATCTCATGTCTTAATTCTACGTGTTCTTCTCAAAAAAACAAAAATGTTCTATAACCATAATCTAATATAAAAATTTTAACAAGCATAACAATGTTTTCCATGATCAAAAGTCACAGAAGAAAAAATCTGCTGGATAATAGTTTCTTTCTCTCTTTAGATAGAAGAAAATGCATGAGGGAATGCAATTTCTAGGAACAAGAAAAAAAAAAGAGGAAAATTCTTGAAAATTATTCTAGGGTATGTTTTCCTTCCTTTCCCAAATTGTTTTCACATTTCTGTTATAACTTTGACAATATACGCTTCTGTTTGGGACTGAATGTGCATTTTCTCTTCAGTGATGCTCCCCCAAGTTCAGATGGTTTAGGTTTATAATGATCGGTTGAGTATAAAAAATAAGCAGGAGTTTCAAACAAGTATCCTAGAGTGCCAGAGACTTTGCAATTCTGAACAGAAAACTGGAGTTATTAACAGTATATGAACTGTGCAGCTCTGACTGAAGAGAGCTTTTACATAAACCTCTGCAATCATTAACATTGATTTAGCTGCAGATTGATTATCAGTTTCAGTTTATTTTATAATCTCTAGTGTTTTTCTTCTACTGTCACAGAATGCTTCACTATGTAGCTCAAATATATACATTTCAAATATGTATTTCACAATAGTTTAATACTAGCAGTTATTCATAGATTGAAGTGACCTGAAGGTGTTTATTTTTTTTTAATGTAATGTGAAGATTTGCACCTTGGATAAATAAATAAAATGTAGTCAGGTTCTTACTCACTGAAGAGTTTTTACATGTTACTTACCAACACAGCGAGGTGTTTTATTGTGATTGCTCCAGGTACCGTCAGGCTGGCAGACTGCAGTAGTAAGTTCCTTGGCTGATAGTCTGTATCCATCATTGCAAAAATAAGTAACGTGGGTGCCAACTAAGTAATCTGTAGTTAATATCCCACCATATAATGGAGCTTTAGGAATTCCACAAGATATTGCTGAGTACAGAGAAAGACACAGTTATTTTCTATCTTCTTCAGCATAAGCTTCTGCTTATCTCAAAGGTTTTATACATTGTAACATCAACAGTCTTAAATTCCTTAAAAATACTTTTTAAATCATTTAAGCCTACAAATAAATTCCCTTAAAATTTTAGGGAATTAAATCTCAGGTAGCTTTTGTCATTTGATAGAGAATGTTAAAAATAAGAACAATGATTCATAACTCTGCAGCTATTCATTCAAAATGCAGAAGATAAAGAAGAGGTAATAGAGAATATCTGGAAAAAACATGATCAGCATGGTTGAATGAGTAAAGCAATCTCTCAACCAGTCTGAGACATTAGGAATCTAGTTTGTACTTCAGGTTTCTTCCGTCAGATGTACTGTATGACCTCTGGCAAAGCACTAAAATTAACATTCAACGTTCTATTTTTCCCTCCTGAAAAGCAGGAAGAAAACGCCCTTTAGAAAAAACTGGCAAATGAAAGTGCAACTCATTTTCTTTCTTCTCCCCCCCGCCCCCCCTTCCCCACTAATTATTCATCAGAAGGAAAGTACCAAAAAAAGATCTACCTCTAAATAATGCTCCATCTATTTTGGGAATAAAATAAAAACTAAATCTTTTACACATTTTAACATCATTCATCAACTACAGGTCAGATTCAAAAAAAAGAAAAAGGGGGCTTAGGCACGTAACTCTTAAGTACTTTTCTTTGAAGTGCAATGTTGAACTCTAAGAGATCATTTATCCTACCTAAACAGAGATATTAAAAGTGAAGGCTTTCAGACTGATTTATTTTTACCCCTATTGTGAGTTGATCTGACATAAGACAGATCTGCTTCATAAGCAATATAACAACAGTATGGCACTGTACCAAACCTAATTATCACACCTGAGACATAGGTAAAGAGCTAATCCTATCACAACTTGCAGAAAAGAGGTGCTAGGATCAAGGTTAAATTATGCTTTGATTGCCATAAAAAGAAACTGCATATGACAAGTAATTTTTTTTTAAATAAGGACACACTATATTGAAGAAGAAATCACAGGAAACTATTATTATTATTTCGCTCATGACCTCATCTGGACAGCCACAAAAACATATATTTTATGGCTATCACAATGTCCATTGACAACTAGAGACAAACAAATGTTTAGAAGAAAACAAGAAAAGGAGAAGAAAACTGTGATTAGGAGATAGTGAAGGCCTCAAGACAGTCATTGAATTCCATCTTCCAAAAGGTATTAGGACATGATCCCAGGGGGATGAAAGGTGACAAGTTAACTAAATCCGAAGGTCTTATTCCACTTCTTACTAAACATTGGACAAAGCTGTACTATTTCACCTGATATCACTAAAGAAAGAAACTGAGCCTCCATGACACTAAAATGAAAACATATGACCAAGTTGATGTTTATTATATCTCTAATTCCTCAATAGTCTGGATTGCAGCAGCCAACATTAGGCAGACCTATCCACAGAAAGATGAGGATAACCAAAAGCTGATATACCCAAGGTATAATCAAAGAACACTGTTTACTGTATAAGTGGCCAACGTAAGCTTTTCCTTCCAAATACCATGTTAAAAATAAGTTTCAGACAATAACAGAGTTGCCAAAACCAAGTTCACCACCATTTACACCAGGGTCAGCAATCAGCAGGGTATAAAAACTAATATACACCTGCAAAATACTTGCAACATGTTAACAGCTGTTGCTTATGATCCTAAGCACCAACAAATGCTACAGCACTACTTGTTCTCATAATGCAAATTCTTCCTCTTTTAGCAATCATCAAAAGAGATATCAGATATTTTGTAGATACAAATTGAGATGTTTTATGTCTACCATTGAGATTAACTACTCCTTTAATTTTTAAAAATCTCCATTAATGACTTTATGAATTTTGAGTAATATTATCCATGTTAACCAAACTTACCTTGCAGCACAAGACAAATATATTCTTCCATTTCCCTTAAAATTTTAAGAAACAATTTCCCTCCCAGCACACCAAATGTGTGATAACAGCCTTTTATATAAACAACAGAGCTCCTGAGGAATCACTTAATGACATTTTTAGTTTACACCAGTTATGAGTTGAATTTTACATATGTGGAAACTTGAATAGAAATTTAGGTTTTAGTTAAGGGAAAAAATATGAAAAGATCTAGACAAGTTATTGCCACATGGGATAACTTGAGAAGAAAAAAAAGTCAAATATGGAACATCCAGAGTGTTAAAAAACAGGTCTGTCACAGAAAGCTTTGGTCATTATTCGTTAACTTGGGCATTATTTACGATCAACACCATAATTGTAACTGAAACATTAAAATCTACTCTTTGTTCACAAACTTAAGAACGCAGTTCCAATTCCAAAAATACACACATACAGCCCTTGGAAGACCTTAACTTTATTAGTTCTCAAAGACTGCCAACACATTCTAAAGACTTATCTGAAATTTCAAAATTATTATTAGACCAGGATGAAGTTCTTAAATACTCTTTATTAAATGTTAAGGCACTATTAAAAGCTTCTCTGATTACAATTTCTCAAACAGAAATCTGACTATTCATCCTATAAAGGACCTCTTATCCTTGGATTTGCTCTGCCTCCCTTAAGAACAACACTTAGCAGATGTAGCTACCTGTCACATCTCAGGGATACAGGAAAAAAAAAGAGTATCAATGGGTACATCACACTATGCAGTGATATCATTTACTAGCAGCATTTCAGACATAGGCAAGACTACTGAAACTGTTCAGTGACCTACTCTTCTGAACTTAATTACTTAGACATTTAACCTATGAAGAACTAAGAAATGTTATGAAAACTGAATTACCTGCAGATTGCCTTGCAAATCACTTTAAAGGTTGCAAACTATTTCTTTGGCATTTAATAAGTTATTGAGTTTTGACACCTGTCCCAATACAGCCATACACTTGGAAATAAGGAGAAGTCTATTTTGAATAAATACAAGTCTTATTTATCTTATACATAGCTATATCATTTTTCTAATGTATATGAATATTAATATCTCAAACCACAAATATCTCAAGAATCATGTCTAAAAATATAATAAAAATAGAAGGTACTATGCTTTTCAAATTAGCTATTTGTTGCAGACCACTACAAATGTACGTTAGCTTAATTTTTGAGAAAATCATAACTCATCAGGTATCCTACCTAACAATATATTCTTGGTGTTCTCCTTTTTTTTTTTTAATTCTTTAGTATAATTTGCATAACAATCACCAGTTATACAACACTTATGTTTCCTGTTGCAGGCAATTTAGACTCCTGAGCTAGAGAACTCTTCTAGATATAGTGTTACGTTTTTAACTTTACTTAACATCTCTAACTACAGTTCCTGTAAAAGCATTTCCCTGTTATACATATCCATTTCCCTGTTATGATATTATAAAATATTAATGTTGATTTCTGATGAGGCCCATGTGAGATAATGTTTATTTGCAAAAGAAATATTTCATAATTAAAAACAAGAATCATGTAATGCTGGGATAGAAATTTAAAATATAAAAAGTAACTGAGAGTTACTTTGTAGAAACAAATGTTTTAAAATGCTTTGAAGCTGCTGAAATCTACAATAAATTGTAAATATTCAAACATTTATATGAATTCACATTAATTCTTGTATTCAAATAGATTGTTGTAAACGCATTCATTCTTTCATAAGTTTACTGTAATCAAATGTCATAATTCAGTTAAACCTGGAAAACTTTATTGACTTGTGATCAGAGGCTTAATATCATTAAAACTAAGATGAATGCCTGGATGACACTTTGACATTATGATTAATTTAATAAACATCTATATAAACAGAACAGTTAATATCTAAAAGATAGAACAGCAAAAGTTTTTCATTAATTTGCATTATTGTTATCACAGTAATAGAACATTAGACTTCAAAGTAGTTTCCTTTGACTTCTTTTCATGACAGAGGAAGGGCGCCTTTGTAATAAGTTTGAAACAGGTTTCAAGTAATTGCTAAAGTCTGGCTTAAGGTATTTCTTTTTGATTCCTTATGACTCCATTAAGTCTCTTTCACTGAGATATGTTTAGTTCTCTAAATAATGTTAAAAGGCTTTCATCCAAGGTTAAAGTATGTATCTGGATTTGTCAGGTTCTGTCAGTCTTGCAGTGCAAGTGATTTGAAGAATGGCTGCTATTATCTATTTAGAGGTTAGAGATCAAGATTTCTATTCATATACATTTAAGATTTAGAACATTAAAAATTGTTCTAATATTACTCAAGAACATGGGAATAAAAAGCTGTAGTCAAAAAGGCTACTGATGTTCCCTAGTTACAGGAGAGGATGTTACAGTTCCAAAATGAAAAATGTAATGAGAAAGCATTCATTTAAATGCATTCATGAAATATTCTGCAGGCAGTAAAAAATGTCTGCCAAGAAATGGACTTAGTAAAAAACCACAAACCACCACTAACCACTAGCTCTGCTGATTGTAGAGGTATCATTAAAGAATTAATAAAATCTGAGTCCTGAGATTTCTCCTCTCCTATAGTATGATGCCAGTAATTACTAATGTGATTTGTCTGGTAATCTTCATTTAGTAGACAGAAGATAAAGAGAATAAAATGCAATGTATTGTTTTTAAAGATATTGCAAGCATTTTTTTTTCCTTCTACTATTTAAAGAAAAAAGAAATAGTCTAATACTTTTTTTTGCTATGTTAAATTGTCAGCTGTAGCAATCCTACATTCAGGTGTGTGAAACCCATGGAAATGGCTTGAATTAGATAAGAATTTACCTTGACAAGCTGGGACTGGAACATCCCATGAGTAATAACCATATGGAGACTTCCTGCATACAGCAGTACTTTTCCCAATGAGCCGAAAACCTCGATCGCAAGCCCAGCGAACCATACTGTTGAGCTGTCCACCTGTCTGACTGACAATGAAACCATGTGGAGGGGACTCTGGAGTGCTGCAGTAGAGAGCTATAAACATAAATATTGAAAAAATAAAAGATGCATTTAGAATTCAGATGACAAATTCCTGTTGAATTCAGTGGACCTCTGATAAGAAGCTGAAAAAAAATCACTAAAAGTTGCTGCATTTTGTATCCTGATCACACATCCATCAAGGAATTTCACTAAGTATAAAGGAGAAAGAAGAGGGCTTTATAAGGGCTTCAGGTTTTAGAGGCTCAAAGGAAATATAGCGATAGCTCACTTCTGAAAATGTTTCTTTTTCCACCATCTTCTTTTTTAAACCAAGTAAGCTACAGAATTTTTAGTTCACAATGAAATGTATTACATTTGTATAAATTTCAGTAGCATACAAATTTTTTAAAGAAGAAAACATCAAAGGCATACTACATACAATTATTCTCAAATAATGTTTTAATTCTTATCCTAAAGAAGTGGTTTCTTTCAAGTTCTGTGATACAACGAACTGAGGTGAACTAACAAATCTAAAATAGACTGTAATCATATTTATGAATGTCACCATAAAGGCATAGCAAAAACAATGAATTGGGGGGGTGGGGTGGGGGGGGAGGTTTATTTATTTAGAACAGAAAAAGTCCTAGAGAAGTCTTATTTAGTGACTATGAAAGAAAAATCCGGGTATCTTCGTGAGAGCAAAAAGAACTTTAAAAGATATAGTTATAATCTGAAAGGATTTATGTATTTCAAGTCTCTCTGACATTAAAGATTGCTTACTTATGCAGTTGTTATGCTTATATTTCTTTCAACTCCTTTATTCATTAAGTCATGAGTAGATAGTCACCTGGTTTCGGCTACCTTACCAAAGTAGTCAACCAGAAAGGACTTATAACCTGGTAGCCAGTTTAAGATAAATGTTGTCTGTTTAAGAATTTAACTTGGTCTCTTATCATTTTGGTTCAAGGACTGGTTAGCCAAATGGCCATTTTCCCATCTTGTAAGAAAGAAAATTAAATTGGAAGTTTGTTTCCAAGTAACTCCTTCATGCTTTGAAGAAATGCTGGTGACTATTAGAACCTATTTTATCAGGCAGAGAAGTGCTGCTTCACTTGCTCTTCAAGGTTTTCCATGTCCCATGACTTCAGGTCAATGGTTTTCTCAGGCAAAGGCTTCCTCTGATCAGGAGTCATGTGGATGTTTGTTTACACTTTATTAAACCAAGCAGCAGAATGAGAAGTACTGCCATATCTTTTCAGAGCACATACTACGAAAATATTTATTTATTTACTCTAAATTGCTTCCTGTCCTTGGAAAAGCTAGAGATATAGACACCTCTAGTTCTTTAGTCTATAAGAAAAAAAATGGGTATTTTCTAGGTGATACAGATCACTAGCAAATATTTCCTGCCTACTTCTCAATAGTTCTCTTGCTGTCATTAGGCAAAAAAAATTGAATGAGGAAAAAACAAACAAACCACCAGCAGAAAGAAGAATTTTATATCCATTCTGTGTTGCTTTCTCCACTTTGTAAAGTGAAATTGTTTTATGCCAATAACTTTTCTAGTACCTACAGATACTATTCCCAGTACCTTTACTTTTGTGTATTTCAGATAAATAGACTTTTGTAATTGCTGTGAATTGCAACAGATGTACTTTAGCTTGACTAATGAATATTATTAGAACATAAAACGTTATATTATGTAATAATACTATAAAAGAAATAATATAAAAATCAATCTTTATTAATTATAATCTTTATACACTATTCATAAATATGTTCATTTGAATTAATAAAACACACCATGTTGGATTTTTTGCCATATTCACTGATCTCTTCTAATACAGTTTGCTGCTTCTGTTAAACCATAAATCAAAGAGTTCAGTCCTTCAGGGTCTCATATTTTTCCACCTTATAGATGCTCACAGAATCACAGAATATTAGGAGTCGGAAGGGATCTTGAAAGATCAGCTAGTCCAACACCCCTGTCAGAGTAGGATCACCTAAACTAGGTCACATAGGAACGCGTCCAGGCGGGTTTTGAATGCCTCCAGAGAAGGAGACTCCACAACCTCTCTGGGCAGCCTGTTCCAGTCCTCTGTCACCCTCACAGTAAAAAGTTTTTCCTCATGTTCAGATTGAACCTCCTTTGCTCCAGTTTGCTCCCATTGCTCCTTATCCTATCATTGGCTATCACTGAGAAGAGGCTGACTCCTTCCTCCTGACACTCCCAACTTCGTGTCAACTGCAAACTTACTGAGGGAGCACTCCTGCTTTGTTGTCATGTCTTCCTCTGTCTCACCAAATGCATTAATGAAGAATTGCATAAAGATCCAGTATGAAGAACAGAGGCACATTAGGGCAAATAAATGATGAGAGGGAGAAGGAGGAAGCTGATTCTTTCATTTGTAGTACTTGCTTATGCCATTTTAAAATCCTGTGAAACATTTGCTTAAGTCTCTACAGAGCACACGTGTTTTCATATATCCTGCTTAGGATGTATAAGGCTTTTTTTCCTCACAAGATCAAAGCATCATCAGGTTCATATATAAAACAGATTGGATTTTCTTTCAGTCTGGGCAATTAATATTACAAAATATAGTTTACATTACCCTTTTCATCTAAATAAATATGTTCATACACATTAAAGAAAGTCTGATTTACATACCTATATATCTTATTCTAAAACCTCTTTTATTGGTGCCATGATCTGCTGACCATCGGAGAAATACTTCATGGCCATTGCTGGTTATATTTAGAGAAGATGAATAGTCCCCACTGAGAGAAATGAGCAATGGGCTATGACTATTTGGTCCTTGAAACAAGGAAGAAAAGAAAGAAAAAAAAGAAGTTACAAAGTTTAAAATAACATACAGTAAATAATATGCACACAGTTAATATACAGAGGAGACTTCCTCCAAGCAAGCGGTAGATTAATCTGAATTACAAATGGAAGCTGACGTTACATGTTATACACTAGAGAGTACATATTTGTTCAGAAACAAAATTTTTTCTAAACTTAATTAATGCAGTACAATTTTGAAATGCAGTAATCTAATTGTCATTTTTAGAACAAAGAAATGCTTATTTAATATTTTATTGTGAAATAATATGGTATGCATAAACAATAATGATTACACAGATGCAATGGAAAAATACACATATACAGAAAAAGTATCATCCGAAGTAGTGCATCCTATAGTTACCATCAAACACCTCAAGTATATCAAATTCCTTTTCTGTCTGGAAGAATTCAAAGAACATGCTGATATTATAACCCTTTTCCACAGTAATGGTCCATGCACACATCTGAAGGTTTGGGTAGCTGTCAGGATACCCAGGGCTCAAAATAACTCCTGTTGAATCCAGACGCATTTCATTGGCTGGACAGAGCACTGTGAAACAGAAAGATTGGTTAAAAAATCTAAAGCCCGCTATTTGTGTTTCATGCAATTGGCAAGATTTTCCTGAGTTTAAAAGATCTGCATTACTCATTTAATTTCAAAATGACTGACAAAAAATTAGAAACAAAGTCAACTAGTAGAACAACTAAAATAATGTTTACCTTGAAAATAAGTCCTGCAACCCTCAGAAGTTATCAATTCATAACATTTTTCTTCTTTCGTTCTCTTCAAGAGAAGATATTCTTGTATGCTGTGCTTAGTTACCTAAATTGTTGCGTTGTTCAAAAAGTGAACCATAGATTTTTTTTTCCCCTCAGAGTACAATTACTGTCAGCAATAATTACAGGCAAAGTCATGCACTGAAAGCAAAATTTGAAGATACTGTGATTTTTGGTTGTCAGAGTCTAAAAAAGGGTAATCAAACCCTCTCACAATCTGTATAAAGCAGCACCTAAATTTTGAGATCCTTCATCAAGTTCCAAGAACATTGATGTACCTATACATAATGTAAGCACTATTCAGACATAATGCCTTTGGTCTAGAAAAAAAAAGACACATCTCAGTCTGAGATTTTGTTGCTCAGAAGAACTAATTAGATATGAAGATGACTTGTGCTAATCCAGCTACCTAGGTTTTAGATTCATTGAAATCACAGAAAACAATAGGTTTTTGCCTTTACATGCAATTAAAAACACTTGAAATTCTATTTTTCCTTTGCCTCACCTAATACAGACCCTTTTCTTCCCTATCTCTTATGAAAAGAAACAGCAAAGAATAGTTCTTAAAATCAAAGTATATGAATAGCAGTCAAGACATTCGTGTTATAATCCCAAATGAGCTAGAGAATCTCAGACTTACTTTGGGCCATAAATCTAACTGCTCCTTCTTTTGAAAACAGGTACAACAGTTTACCATATGAGAAACACTTTCTGAGGCAATAAAGATCAAATTACACATACATGGCTAGACTTCGCGAACGAAGATAAGGGAAGGACACTACCCACGCTTGCTGCAAGCGTGCTGATGGCTAAAAAGGCCAATGCGGGATAGGCAAGTCCGGTTGCAAAGGGCACAGCAGAAAGTCTCCTTAGAGGGTATTGGGAAGGTACAGTTCCTTCTGTGTTGTCTTTTCTCCTCGAGACTAATTCTACATGCATTCTCAAAGGAGACAGCAGCGTCATGAACGGTGTGTCTCCATATCTCCCAATTGGAGGCCAGGGTGGACCACTGATGGTAGTCAATATGGTCAAAACTGAGGTATTGTTTCAGGAAGTCCTTGTATCTCCTCTTTGGGGCTCCTCTGTTGTGGCAGCTGGTGGCGAGTTCACCATAGAGCACAATCTTAGGGAGGCGGTGATCCTTCATCCCAGAGACGTGCCCTGCCCAGTGAAACTGCGTCCTCAGCAGCATGGCCTCAATACTGGTGACTCCTGCCTGTTCAAGGACAGTGACATTAGTCACGTAGTCAGTCCAGTTGATGTTTAGGATTGTACAGAGGCAGTGCTGATGGAAGCGTTCTAGGAGTCGCAGGTGGTGATGGTAGATGACCCATGATTCGGACTTGTATAAAAGACAGTAGACAGTACAATGGCTCTGTAGACACTAATTTTTGTACTTTTCTTCAGGTGTTTATTGCACCAGGCTCTTTTATGGAGTTTTCAGAAAGCTCTATGTGCCTTTGCTAACCTGTTGTCAATCTTACCATCCGAGGAAATGATACTTCCTAGATAGTTGAACTGCTGGACTGACTTAAGCTCTGATTTGCCTACGGCAATGTGGGGGTGATGGAAGACTTCCTGAGGTACAGGTTGGTAAAGAACTTCTATCTTCTTCAAGCTGACTTCCAGCCCTAAAAGCTCAGCAGCCTCTGCAAAGCAGGATGTTAAGCACTGCAGAGCTGCTTCTGTATGAGCAATGATGGCAGCATCGTCAGCCAAAAGCTGCTCGTGGACAAGGTGATTAAATGTCTTAGTGTGGGCCTTCAGTCACCTTAGGTTGAATAGGCTCCCTTCGGTAAGATATCGGATGTAAATGCCGTTATCTTCATCGAGGTCTGCCGTGGCCCTTTGGAGCATCATGCTGAAGAAGATTGTGAATAGAGTTGGTGGAAGAACGCAACCTTGTTTCACACCATTGGTTATTGGGAAGGGCTCAGAGAATGCATTGCCATACTTGACTTGGCCACGCTGATCCTCATGTAACAGGATAATCATTTTGAGGAACTTGGGAGGGGATCCTAATCGTTCTGCTCACAGTGTCAAAAGCTTTAGTGAGGTCAACGAAAGTTACATAGAATCCTTTGTTCGGTTCCCTACA